TATATATATATATTATTTAACAGTCAAGATCCTCCTTAACCCGTTTTAACCGTGTCACCAGATTCACTGTGGTTCTTATGGCTATTATTAAAGTTTTACAGACTCGCTGATAAACTGTCTATTTTTTCTTTTTTTTTAGTTACGATTTATCGTGCTCCACTTGATTCTCATGAAACGTATTACATAGTCAGCGTCCGTTTAACAAATTTATTGCCTTGAACTTCCGGCCGAAATTACATTTCCGGTGGGCGCGAACGATGCGATGGATTACACTTAAATTTTTCTAACGTACGTACCTCAAACGAATATGAGTCGAATTCGTAGATTCTCGCGTTATGGACGATTCAATCGCTTGGCTAAGAGGTTAAATGACTATTTCTTTTGGCAAGACCATTTATTGGCAAATGTCTTTTATCCCATTGACCAATTTGTCGTAACCCCAGTAAAAACGCCAGGTTGAGTAACCTTAATTCTACAGCTATGAATTTTATTATCCTTCGGGATACCAGGGATATCCTTGGACAAATATCTATCTATAAACAAACGGACGGCGTGGCTGATGTTGCTCCACATTTATAAGGATTACGTTGCGGTACGATTTATCGCGCGAATCGCGACTGTAAAGATGCCAGCTACTTTAATCGCGGTGGGCCAAATCAGTTTCGCTTCGTAAATATCGGATAGTGAGCATACTGTCAAACGAAGCGAAGAAGACTCGGACGATTATCAATTAGCGAATATTTCTTCTGTCCACGCAATAACTGTACGGTGTGCAAAAGCTGTTTCAAAAAGACCGCCAATACGTCCTCAAAGTACACTGGAATTTCCATTATCATCAGGAATTCGTTTACAATTGTAATACAGCACTGTCGTTAGAAAAGAACATGTCAAAGCGTTAGTACAGTCGCGCACAAGACAATCTTTTTTTTTTTTATTCACGATCGGTACGTAAATTAACGTAATGACAGTTCACAGTAAAAATGTATTTTTTCCTTTTGACGTTTTTCGAAAATCTTCGCAGGCACTTTCAGTAGCGACAGGTACACCGTACTTTCTTCCTGTTCCTTGCCTTGTCATTCGTTAACGCGAAATGCTGTTGAAAACGTCTTGGAGTTTTGTCGCTTTACTCGTCGCACTGAGAAATTAAATCTGCTGTAATACGTTTTAAGGCGATGCTCATTAAACGCGAGAAAAATGAGATTTTCTTGATTTAGTCGTTATTAAACAATTTTTTATTTATTCTACCAGAAAAATATTTTTTGCATTTGGTTCAAACTTATCACCCATAGAATTATCATTAAGGCGATTTTCACGTGAACGATATTCAGTTAACTCTGTATTATCGCCTCTTCATTTATTTTATATCGCAAACTTTTCTTCTGTCTGTTTATATATATATATTTCTATATGACATCCAGCGCGTGCATCACACTTGTTTCTTATTGTTACGGGCGCGTTTACATTAAACGAATCATCCCCTCTTACGTATAGCTCTGGTAAGCTCGAAAACCTTTATACCCCTGGGACCAGTTTTAGCGAGTCTTTGTATTCGCTATTCCATTATCACAATTTACAATGTGGGTTTATACTGGCCCAGACGTGAATAAGGGATATGATATACGTAACGTAAGCTTTTGACGCTGTTCAAGCTTTGAGAGTTTGAGTATTAAGGAGAAACCACGAAATTATCGCCGCAGATGCAGATGCTGTAATCGTGTAAACAAATGAAAGTGTCTTTGGACGAGTGTCTTGGCTTTATGAAAATAAGCTTTTTTCCTCCTTACTTCAAGAAAAGTTCTCTTAAGGAACTACGTCACATATTACTGTTTGACAGATTCTTCGAGTGCTTCACTTTCATTCTCTCCTCTTCATCCTGCAGTCATTCGCCACTTACTTTCCCGTATTAGGCTTCACTTTCTTCCGTTCTTTTCAAATTCCAAACATATACCAGCGTTCTTGAGTTTTACATTATAATTCCTGCTGAATTTTCATTCTGTTATCCAAGTTCGACTTTTTTTTTTTTTTTTTTTTTTTGGAAACCGCTTGAAAATTGCCGCAAAATTTTTTCTCACTTTATCAATCCGTCGCACCACGGATAATATTTACTTTACGAAACACACAGAGTGAAAGTTTAACGTATTTGAGATTTATCTAACTTTTTTTTTTTAATGAAATCGGTAAACACGGGTACGTTCAATTAACCGGCAATCGATGTTTTTTTTCAGATCTTATTATTCGAGCTTTCGCGAGATTACGTTGAATTTCCAAAGCTTCAAGCTTTCTTAGACAGCTTTCTTTCAGTATGCAGTCTTTATGTTCCATACAGATCGCAAGCTCGTTCCTCGGTCCGGTTACGTTAGCAATGAAAATTAGTACAGCTCTCAGTCAGCACTGTCCTCTTAATGCTTTGTAGTGGGGCGAGCTTTCGCCTGCCTGTCGCGGCAGCGTCGCGGCGTCAACTGAACGGGCAGACGCCGGGCGTCGGCGTCTTTTCAAACGGACCCACATTACCGCCAACGTATATAGCGTTGCGTTTTTCCTCATGAAAACTACGTTCACTCTGAAGAAAATTCTCTCGCTCGGTGCATTGCTTGGAGCCTTTGATAACCTCCAATTCAAATTCGGTCACTCTTATCTTGACAGTATAATATTTTATCGATTACTCTTCGCGCGACCGTCTCTCCTCTGACCTTTGCGTCTACGTATTCGAGGGCATTGCGCACACCATAGCACCAGCAACAACATAGGACCTATCGGCTAGAGCGTCTTGACGCGATGACGTTGCACCTGAAAACTTTAAAGGGATACACTTAAGTCTTAAGGGAGGGCTGAACTAATTCTTTCGACAAGATCTGATAGAAAATGGGTCACACTCCTGAAAATTTTAAATTATGCATGAAGCATTGGGGAGGTTATCACTGCCTAAAATTATCTGTGAATGTGACGTATTATTTTTCTCATTAAATTCTACCACGTGTCAACTAAGTCATAGCTAATACCCCCTTAATGTCGGAATGAGGTTCACGCGAACACTAATTTTGGATCTTTCGACTAAGGCTGCTTTGAATAGCGTTACGATTTATGGATTTGTAGAGACCATTTAGTAAATTAAATAAGGGGGAATGGGAAATTTCGAATTCCTTCTATGGGGAAATCGAATCAATGGTGTCCTACGGAGTTAACGGAAATGGATTTTTCTAGACCTTCTTCGAATATCAATAGTGGTTCATTCAAATGCTGCGTAGTAGAGTAGATAACGTATGCTTTGGTTATTATGATTCAGAATTAGACTTAAAGCCTGTGATAATAATCGGCGTTTAATCAAGCGGTAGCTAATAGCTTTTACCGAACTTTATGTCGATACATGGAAGCACCATTAGGACAGATGTTAGGTGAGTTGATGGCAGCAGTAGTAACGTTCACGTATGGTCGGACATGAATTACGTCTGTGATTGTCGCGCTGCTTTCCCTGTCCAAAGGACCTTTTAGGATAAATCACAATTAGTATTCAGGATTAATAAAATTTGGTAAATCTGTAACAGAAGCTACGATGTAATTAAATGATCTTCATAAGTTGCTAGATTGGTTCTAGGAATTCTGGAGATTACTGGACGGAAGTCAATAATGTCAAGATAAATATTTAAAACTATGGATCATAAAGTATCAGTAGGAAGTCATTCCTGATAGTCTTTTTGATTACGATCATAGAAATATTTTAAGAAATATTATCATCCGATATACCGTGTATCAGGCATTTTTAAAATGGTAAGTACGGACTGTGATGAGAAGATACGGCTCGACGTGTCACTATGCAGATGATTTTGTCCACACGAGAACGACAATTTTTAGTGGAAACGTGAGTAGCATCTTATTGGGGATGCGACGAGGAAGAGAATATTTCTTGGAATAACGTATGATTCAGGGGACTACTAGTTTGATATTTATAAATAGGGGGTTGCTCAATGCCTTCTGATGATCATTCGAATTCGATTAAGAACGGAATCATTCCAGGCTGCGAAGTAATCCTGAAGTCATCTTTTAGTTGCCCAGAACAACTTGGTAGACAATTGTCGTAATAGACGTCTTAGAGACGACTGTTAGACAGTAGTACGTGTCTGGGTTCTGTTATGAGATACCCCAGATAACACATAATGTCCAAAAGTCGTTTTTAAGACGTCTAATAACACAGAAGTTGTCTTTAAGACATCTTAAAGATGACTATTGGACATAAGTATTGTCTGGGACGGCTTCACGTTTACGTAAATGGAGCTTGAGGGAATGATATGCTTGGTATTACGTGGATAAGGTAGGTCCCATAGATGGCATGACGTTACAGACGCGTACGTTTTTTTTTTGTCTGTAAGTAACAAGTACATGATTTTAAAATTTGTTGGTTATGTATAAAATAACTGTTTGGCAATTATCAAGGAACGTGGAATCGTCGAATATTTTGGTCAGGTTAAAAAGATTCCGGAGAGTCTCATCTAGAAATAGCTACTTTCGAAAGACCTGCGAAAAAGAGAGAAAAATAGAGGATATTAAAATAAAATAAAGAGTGAGAGTTCAAGACACGCGTCGCAGACGAAAATAGTTTCTTTAGAGACTAACAGAAAATCATGGATTTAAGTAAGTGGTAACCTTGAATATGATTGGGACGTTTCTCTGAAACCATTAGGATTACCGCGTGATAGACGTATATAGTTAAAATTCAAATAGTTACGCATATTCCCGTGTCCATGATGTAGCGCTAGTGTAAGTAAATGCACATTGAAATTGTTTAGACTTCTGTCGAATGTAAATATGCGATTTTTATGGTAAAAATACGCAAATCTGTCGGAGATGTCAATATTATTTTAACTCTCAAAAATCATGGTACATCAGGATCGCAGCATCCTATACGATAAATATAATTGAGTGATCCTCACCATGGGATATGTGATCCCTGGATAACTCCCAAAAATAAATCGAAGCGAAATACTTTGACTGACTTTTTTTCTTAGGTGATGAAAATTCTGCGTAAAGGCTAATCACCCCTCAAGATATGAGGAACTTGACTCAAGGTGGGGGACATCAGGTTGAGCCAGGACGACTAGAGTCTAAATCTGTCTCTGAATCAGTATATAGCGTAACGTTGGGCCGAAGCATACATATAGGAACAATAAGAGGTTCGTAGGTGGACAAGTTTGTTTGTCCAATAAGATTCATTTGGTATAAAAATAAATTATATTTAAGAACAATGGTTTGACAAGGTAGTTATATATTATCCCAAACGTGTTATTTAACCTATTACGTATACCTTCCTCGTTATGTATGAAAAAAATTGCAAAATGCTTTTTGCAAGTTTCTTTGTAAATTCTTAATGATGGATTGTACGTGGGAGAATTGTTTTTAATGTAACATTGGAAGAGCGATATGTTAAATCGAATTTCGAATAACATAATTTTTGTAGCTCCAGAGGCTTATCGAGAAAAGATTTATCAATGATTTTCCGCTGGGAAATCGAGCACGCGTGACTTGCCGATACAATTTGAAAGAACGATCGTTCTTCGAGAGGAGCAGTATCGTTTTCCATCGGTTTCTTTTTCGGATGGTTATGAGGCGGTGGAACACATTTCTCTGAAGCTGAGTCAACTTGAGGATGAGATTTGTTTTCGTTATATATTTGTCAACTACGTTCGGCGAAAGATACTGGATGTATAAAAATAGAGCTTGACGTCATTTGCCGATATTTCTTTTAAATATGCGTGTTGGTGGTTGGAATTCTAATAAATGCTTGAAATTACTACGGTTTTTTGCTTATTTTCACGAAATTCTTATAGAGTAATTTTTATTTGATCATTTAGACCTTTTCTTGATATAGCTTGAACTACGTACATTCTGCATTTAGTAAAGTACCTTTTATATAGCCTCAGAATAATCGTAATGCTGCTACCTAATCGACGACTAATTTTTGTCGTTAATAAGCTACATTTGAGTGTTTCGATATCTACCCTAAATTCTGAATAAATTATTCAACCTTGACCTTTGTACCTATGTTCAATCACATTGTTCTTCTAAAAAGTATGAGAAAAGCTTAAATTCTGACGTGAATATAGTGACTTTCAAGAAGTTTTCTTTATATTTCAGATAGATACATCGGAGTGGGATTTTCCGTATGGTTGGGAAAGTTGCCAATATAGTTTTAGCTTAAATTGGAATGATGCTTACCCAGGAATATACTTTCATTTTATAATTCTTGTAATTACTAATATGAAACAGAGACTTACCAATCAATATAGACTATTATAATAAAACATAATACACAATACATATTGCAGTTACATATAGTAAGGATGAAAATGGGACCCTTAATTTGATGTACTTGGCCAATCATTAGCTTAATTTAAGTTAAATTTTTATAAGATAAACAAAATTTTTTAATTATCGTTGTAGCATCCATAAAGTATGTTAAAACCCAAATCAAAGTAGAGTTACGGGTAAGAAATTAAGTTGCTTCCAAAATCATTTTATATAACATCACATCTTCTAAATATCGCCATCTGTAGGATTTATGTTTCACTGACTTATACGTTTTCATGTAAACTGACATTTTAGGTTTCTCCATTGTAAATTAGGCTTAAAGTCCAAGTGCGCGTCTGCTCCGTGATATTAGTCAAGTAAACGGACGCGGCCTTAAAAGAAGTTCGTGGAGTCACCGGTAGGGTCGTGCGGGTAACACGGCGTCGCCGGGAATTGACCTTGGTGGTGGCTAGGTAGACGGAAGGCGCTGAGGCGCTTTGGAAAAGGCAGGGAAGCAGCCCGCGTTCGCATGCCTCGTTCGCCGCCCATTGTTATCCTTGTCGCGTGTAATGGCTACCGCGGAGTTTGTTGACGGTGCTCGGTATATCCGTTTGTGCGCCGATCGGCCGTGAAAGGGCCCTGTAGACGTGGTCAGTCTCAGGGGGAAGGTCTTGTGACTATCTGGTGCAACATAAAGTCGATTTTATGCCAGCGAGAGGCTCGGGAGCCGTTCGCGAGTCGCCGCTTGGGCGACATTCGCCGTATGAGCCAACGCTCTTCTTTGACAAGCAAGCAATAGGGACGTGCAAGGTATCGACTACCTGGTTGCGGTAGCCATCCCTTTTCGTTCGAAAAGCAGCCTCATCGTGACGCGGATGTGATAACGTGCTTTATTTAATCCCTGATAGAAGTATCAACTCGTTGGATTTTGGCATCGATTTTTTTTTATATTCACCCAATCCCAAAAGACCCTGTGATTTCGTATGCCGATTTGCCAACACCGTCTTCGACTTCGATTCACCTGTGACGACCCACTCAAAGCTAGGCCACTTTGGCTAAGCCTGCGCTGCCGTTATGGCACCTGAACGACACTCGGGTAGCAGCAAACGAGAACTTTAGCTCGTGGCATCCCTCTACGATATCGCATGTGAGTATGGCGCGTCTCTCGGTCACGATCATCCTTCCCGCGCTGCTTTTCTGTTTTCTTTCCCCCGTGCGTTTCACTTTATCGGACTATGCGTTCTCCTTCTCTTTCATTCTTTCTTTCATTGCTTATCTCCATCTTTCTTTTTCTATATGTGATTTCGTGTATGAGTGTTGGTCAGTGGATATAAATGTATATGTGCTATATATCTTTATGCTTGGCTTTGATCAGGGGGTCCGCGATGCTACCTGCAGCTTATTTCACGCGTAACGCGTCCTGTGCTAGATCTTTATTTAATAAAAATTCATGAATTACTTGCATTTATATTGGAGCCACTCTTGGCCATATTGCGATACATGAGGAATTTATTTTAGGCCTTACGTACCACCATCGACCTCATTACTATGGCTGTTTATAACTTTGCATTATTTTATTAATTATAACATTAACTAACGTTATTCAGTGTAAAGTATCATGTTCAATTTTATTCTAATACAGTATTGATAAACTTAACATTTGATCGTACAAGTTTATAGATGATGCAAATTATACATTAGTGTGTTAATTTTAGAGTACATTATTGTACATATTTATAGCATCTAAAGTATTTTATAACTTGATATTTAAATTCAGTTTCACTTCAATGTGAGTAATAGCTCTTTTTTTAAAGACCTTAAAATAGAATTATTAGACAGCCATAGTCCTAATTTTTGTAACAGATGCCTATTGATTGTGCAGGGTCAAATGCGGCACATCAATGGCTCTAGAATCAAATGGTAGCAACGTGGTGTGGTTGAGCACAACCCGTCCTGATCAAATACAGCAGGTATGCACTGCGTTCGAAAAATTGAGCTAAAAGGGCATGTCTTTGATGATCATTTTATATAATTTTGTTTGCACATAAAACAAAAAAATTGATACATCAGTGGTATTTCCATGTATAATACATATATATCATTTTCTTATGCAGCACGTTGTTAAAGACGAAATAATACAGATTGAACCTAACGAAGGACGACATCTTCAGCATCAGCAGCAACAGCAGCACAGATACCATAGGAATCTAATAAAGGTTCCTAATCAGCCGAGCCAACAGATTGTGCCGCCCGTCAAGTGTTCCATGTTTACTCAGACAGAACAGTCTGAACAGAGCAATTCGAGTTACGCCGATCAACGACAGGTGATTCGACAATACTAATATTATCTTAGATAAATTATCATCCCAGTAACATATCAAACTTAGATCCTTGTAATACATGAATGGAATTGTTCAATTCCCAAGTTTAGAATATTATATATTTAAGCATATTGAAGTTCTAATAATGATATATGTGTTTAATCCTTATTCAACAGCAACAAGCTACGATGTTCGACCCACAGCAGATACAGCAGCAGCAGGCTGCACAGGGTCAACAGTCGCAGCAGCAGCAATCACAACAGATGTACGTTACGGAGAAAAAGGAGGACAAGACCCAGCAGCAGTCTACAGCGACCGACTTCCCCTTCTACTACAATGTCAACATGCTCCAGAAAGTTCAGACAAACGCGGTGAGCACAATCGGTGCAATCACTACCGACGACAAGGGTTGCTATCGTTTCGACGTGCAACCTGTCGGTTATAACACATTACTGAACCAGATGAGCATAGCGGCTGCGACCAATGCGACCTTCAAGTGCGACATTTGTGGCCTGGTCTTTGGCCACATAAGCCTGTTGAATCACCACAAAAGGATTCACAATACAACGCCCAGCAACCTGCAGCAGCAGCCCCAGCAAGTTGTTCCGACACCTACCACAGTCACCGTTACGGCCACGCCGGAGAGGCCGTACACGTGCGACGTATGCGGGGCGTGCTTTGCGTTGCCGGGCGAATTGAAGAGTCACAAAACGAATATGCATCAAAAGCCTAAGGTTCAGCTCTGCGAAGACTGCGGTAGCGAAGATGCCTGTGAGCATCATCCCACCAAAGTCAAAAAGAGTGAGTTAATATTATTCAATTAACGATGCTTCGAGGTTGCATCATTGACAGATGACACTTGGGACTTTTTCTAGTATTACGTACACTCCTCAGACAAGCCCCAGGATCGAACGTCGTGATAATAGTTGTTCAATCCTATTGGTGTAATATTAAAAATCATGTCTTTTGTACAGCGATCAAACCCGGACATCATCCCGTTAAACGAAGGGGAGTCACCAGTGTCACCAAGTGTCACAAGTGTAACGGAACAGGCATCATTTTCATTGGTAAGTTTCATCAAACTTGTAAATGGGGTAAAAAGAAAAAATGTTACTGAGGTAGCAATTACGTACGTGTGCTTGAATAATAGCGAAGTTCGAGTTCTCTTTTATCAGCTTTCATTTCCTATGATCATTGTCATGTCAAAGTTTATCAAGGTGCTTTTCGCGTGATGGTAACATTTTTTGTGCAACCCCGTTCGCCTTTCTTCCATTTTTTTTTCATTTCATTGCTGTCATGATCGTACATCGGGTGGTATATGGTAGGTAATCACGACGATAACATAGATTCCGGAATCAGTTCCCTTGCGAAGTGCGGCACCTGCAAGGCGACAGGCCGCATCATCATAGGAAGTAAGTGGGACAAAAATTACAGCCAAAAAAAAATATGGGATCTCTTAGTTCAAATTCGAACTCTTCCGACTTCCCGTTATTTTAGATGGTGACAGTTCTAAGCTCTCTTACATCCTTGTAAAATCGAAGCACGTTTCTGTTCTCGTCTCTATCTTGGAATTAGCATGAGGGCCAAAATCAAACGTACGATATACATTGATTCAATAATTGTGGCTTAGAATCATCACTGATAAATAAATTCTGACTGCTTGTTGAGAAATCTGTGTAGAGCTACACTTGATCGATTTTTTTTTTCTCTTAAAAACATTTATAATCCAATGCACGCACTAAGGGGGCACACAGAGAAGATATCCGGAAAGAAAGCTTCAGAAAATGGATGACAAGCTTATAGTGGAACTCGAACAGACACGAATATCTAACGCGTATTATTCATGTTCATCATTTACTTTCTGCATGCTCTTGTAGTAGATAATATCGACACTTTCCATAATCACTTGCTAGTGTACTGAGAGTGTTGTAAACGCCTTACGAAAGGATTGTGTTCTTTGTTTTTGGGTAGAACTGTCGGCATCTAAATTTAAGAACGATTACACGGAATGAAATCTCCCCTAAGGGACAGTTTTATAAATTTGATCGACGAGTGGTCCTAATCGTTTCTCGCATCACGAAAACTTTCTATCGCTTTTCCTCGGTTTCTCCATAACAACCGTGTGAAACGCGCATGAACCGACATTGTCGCGAAATGGTCTTCCTATGTGGACTGTCCCACACGTTTGAATACCTTCGAAGTCGTCATCACGTGTCTCGAGAAAAAAAAATACTTCTCTGATTTTTTAAATTACCTTAAGAAGACATTGGCGATTTCCCTTCTTTTTTATATGTCCAAAAAACAAAAAAGAAAATAGTATACCTACTGATCTTGCTACACAAATGAAACCTAGAGACTCGACTTAAATCGACTGAATCAGTCGCAATGTTATTTTGTCAGATTTCTCTTGTCACACACTTTTTTTTATCTTCTGTTTGATCAAACAATTCGCATCTTCATTCGACACGTGTATCGCGATACAGAAGGGTTCTTTGAGCTGTTCGCGGAATTTCGCTCTTTCTCATGTCTCGCGGATACTTCACGAGTGAACCTCGACCGCATCTTTTTGTAGAACTGGCCCTTTGAGGACAACTAACGTCTCGGTCGTATTCTGAATTTCAGGCGGCAAGCAAAACAGTCTGAACCAGCCCGAGAAGCCGTTCCATTGTAACGTTTGCGACGGCACGTTTTCCCGGTACTCGTCGCTCTGGTCCCACAAGAGACTTCACTCTGGAGATAAGCCGTTCAAGTGCGAAGTCTGTGGTCTGGCCTTTGCGAAGGGTAAGAATCGAATGGCAACTCTGAGTGCTTCATCTTTATTTTTTTCACTTCACTTGGCGCATGATTTCATTTAGTCACTGTAACGCGGTTACCGGATTTGTTGAAATTATGCTAAGTGCCTTAAAGCTACATACTATCTGTTGCTAATAAAGATAAAATTATCATCATTCTATTGCAGCGGCGTATTTGAAGAACCACGGGCGTGTTCACACTGGCGAAAAACCATTTAAGTGTAATGTATGCGGCATGCAATTCTCGCAGAGTCCTCATTTGAAAAATCACGAGAGGATCCATTCGGGAGAGCGTCCCTACCAGTGTGAGGTGTGCGAGAAGACGTTTGCGAGGCACTCCACACTTTGGAATCACAGAAGGATTCACACGGGCGAGAAGCCTTATCGGTGTAATATTTGTGGATCCGCCTTTAATCAGGCGACGCACCTAAAGAATCACGCGAAGGTTCATACCGGGGAAAAGCCTCACAGGTAAGTTTCTTGCATAAAGAATTGACCTGATTCTAGTCAATGATAGCCAATACTCTTTACGCCTGTTCGTTATAAAAATCTTATAATCACAATTCCAATATATTCATATGTCGTTATAGATGTGATATCTGTGAAATTGGTTTCTCGGATCGTTTTGCTTTAAAGCGTCATCGCGCTATTCATGAAAAGTATGGACAGACAGCGCGAAATCAGAATGCGAATAGTACGACTAATGCACAACAGGCGAACGCCAGCAACCAGCAGCAAGCCCAACAGGTACAGCAAGCTCAGCAGGCTCAGCAAGCTCAACAGGCTCAGCAAGCTCAACAGGTACAGCAACAAGCGCAGCAGCAACAACAGCAGCAGCAACAACAACAACAACCCCAGCAAGCGCAGCAGCCCCAACAAGTGGTAGTTGTGAATACTGCTACGCCTGTGACTGTGAGTCAGAGTCAAGGTCAAGCAGTGATGCTCGAAGAGGTCTACAAATGTCAGGTGGCATTCCCGGAGCCTAAATGATTCGGTTAAGACCAGCGACGATGCCAGGGACCTGCTGAATTTAAAAGAAAGAAAGCTTTTCGGTCCATTTATATCTTCAATAATTGAGCCTCCCTTGGATAATGAGCTTGGACTTTCACGAGGGAGTTGGCTGTCAAGTTCGTGGCATGTCGAGTGATGCATTCGTGTGACTTCGTGTCTGTATTAATTGTCACCCGGACGGCGTCGCCAGTGCCGTTGAACGAACAGTAAAAGGTATGCGGTTTTTGTGAGACTTTCTTTTCATAAAGCAATTCGCTCCAGTTGGTTTCGAAGAAACGGCGATCCGAAGATTTTAACGCAAATGAAACATCCATTTGCTATGATAATAGTTATAACAATAAGAATAATTATATCCAAGACAAACTTCCCATACGGACGGTTACAAGTGAAGACTATTTTTGTGAGGAATCCTAGAAATTATGAAGATCGGTTTCATTCACACGCTTTTTCCCTTCTTTCTTTTATATGTACTTCACGCAACTCAGTCCCCTCTTTCTTCCTTCCGCCCACAGCCACTCATACTGTGTTGTCTTACTTCTTCGCTCCATGATAAAAAGAGCCGTGTATATTTTTTCACAATTGATCCACTCTCTCATATACATATGCATATACCCTCAACGTCTAAGGTGCAATATTCTTTATTGAAAACTGCAGTTTAGAAAAAAAAAGTTAGTAAAGACGGTGTTAAGTGGTAATGATAGTAATGATCATCATGTATGGCAGTTTGATTTTCCATGAGAGAGGTATGGTGGAGACAGTGGTAATAGTAAAAAATCATGTTTGTTTCATAAATTTCATTTCATTGGAATTCGTTTCACTCTACACGGAAGATAGACGAAACGTCGAGTAATGTTATGAGACTAAACTTGACGCGTCTCATCAGTTCGTTAATGGTGATAGTTGATTAATTGAAAGGATGCTATAAGACTTGCTAAGTCTTCCGTCCGTCATATTCGTAACAGGGTTGACGACGACATTAGGAAGACATTGATGGCGGAAGAATGATCGTCGTTCAAACATTTGAGAAATGCAGAAACCTTTGAGCGAAGGGCTAGAAAAAAGTTTATCGAAACTTGCGCCAAGGATAATAATTATCGACAGGCGGACTAATCTGTTTTATAATATTATTAAGACCGAGCGCTATATGAATATCAGTTACTATATAATTTCCTAGTTTGTAATAGAAAATAGCTGGCTAGATTATATGTACGTGTATACATTAATTTTTGATATCCCCAATTATTAGACGCAAACGACGCGTTGCGATGTGGCTGACTCCAATTTTTCAAAGAGACACAAAGTCCACTCGATGCGGATCGAATAGTATAGTGATTAACGAGTTCGCAGCTCCGTCACGAAGAACATCCAATACAAAGGAGAGATAAATGATAAAAACAAAAAGAAAAAGAGTGAATGGAAGCAATAGCAAGTAAAATTCATAGCAGATTTATCTCAGGATAAAATGTTCGTTCCTCGCGGGTCATAGGTTGTCAATGACTCTTGCACATTTCTCTTGCGGCAATTAATTTTCTTCTTCTCTTTTTTTAACGTGTTAATTGCTTTTTCTTAAATCAAGTCTGCCTGGTTTCTAGTGATTATATCAATTGGACTTGCTAGATTCCAAGCAGGAAGGAATATCTGTTAGTACGTTCCTCTAGATATCTTCTATTCTGTAAATCGATCATCGATTATTTTGACTTTTCATCATTCTTCTGTTTCTTATATAATAGGACGTATACATTTTTGAAAGTATCGCGCAGCTAAAAATTTTAATAATGAAAATTATTAATTTGTTAACTAAACGCAAGGGAATGATATGCGTACCATTCGTATATGTCAACTTATTGCACTTTTTTACTACCTTTTTTTTTTTTGTTCCGTTATTCGAAAGACACATTAGTTTTCTTTCCAGTTTCTTCTTCTTCTTGTTTCATATGGCTTTATGCCCTCGTAGAGGGCCATGTGCCACTTTTTTCCAGTTTAATGAAGATCGAAGCTGACTCTCAATAAAATGCATAATGATCGTAAATGATTTACAGTAATAGTGCAATTTGTCATTGATAAAAATTTTTCGACTTTGCGTTGTAGACGGTCCCTTCCAAATTCTCTTTCTCCTTTTTTTTTTTTTCTCTTGGAAAAAATACGATAGGGGATACCTTCTGTTTCATCGATATAACATGTAAAATAAATATATACGATTACGTTTAATTTTACTTTTACGTGGTCATAATACCTGCTACAGTATTTCGGAATTAGATTAGATATTTTCTGTCAGTGTTCTTTTTACTTTTGATGTCCTTTGAAAAAAAGGACAAAGTTTTATTCTTCTTGCTTCGATCAGCACGCGATGCAGCAGAGGGGATACTCGGAGTCTTAAGTGGTGCAAGTCCATCTGAACATATATATTGGCGTAGAATTGTATACTTCATGCGTTTGAGGTAAATTTATTGTGTCAGTTTTATTTGGTGTTCGGTAGTGCAGATGGGGTGATATACGGGTGTTTTACAGAAATAAGATATTTCGTTACATCTTAAAAATCGGATACGAGTGTTTGGAATTGGACCACTTAAGACCAGCATTTCCGGTATCGAAAATCTTATCAGACACTTATCGCGGTAGGTCAGGGTGTCTGTAAAATTATTTTATCATAACTTTAGTTCTCACTTAACGGCACTTTATGAAGTAACAAATGCTTGTATATAATAGTAATTGCGAAATACGCTCGGTACCGAAATACGAAGGGATCCAATTCGTACTTCATTTCTTATATTATTGAAACTTGCTGAGGGAGTGGTAAATATTTTATTCTGGTTTTGTAGGTTCTCCTTTTTACACATACTCCATTATTATATATTCCTTCGAATTCCTTCGGTCTAGTAATGGTTAGAGGAATAGTTTTTCATTTGCTTCGTTCCATAACATTGCGAATGATAAATTTATTCTAATTGTAAAATTGCTAAGAAATTGGAAGCCTTCGGTTTTCATGTACTGGCCAGCTTTTATAGAATTTATTTACGTTAAGGCTCTCAACATAAAAAAAGGTATGAATGTACATGACCGAGAGAGTGATTGCAAGAATGAGTATATATATATATATATATATATATATATATATACACACACACACACACACACACATAAGAATGAGTATATATATGAACTACTAGGTAACTAATTAATTGTAAGTCATTCGCATGGAGATGAGGAGCTACTGAAGGGGGCATAGGATGTAATAATTGTTTATTAAAAAGAATGGTAGGTTTCTTTGAATTTGACAAAAAATTCTGTTTAAACCTTGTCTAAAATGAGCACGCGGTTAACGTCAATTATTTTGTATATCAGTCAAAGAATGTGATACCGGTGGTCATTGACTTTCGCTTTGCAACACAATATTTCTACTATTTCATATTCACTATTGTGTTATGCTTCACTATAAGGCTGAATAATGCAAAATTGTTACTGCCAATGATAAACAAGAAATTAAATTCTTCATAAGTGGTAAACCGGAATTCAGTATCACAACGTATACTGACTTCACTGACCATACATAATCATTATCATCTATTATACGTAATTAAAGTATTTGTCTTTAATATTTTTACTACTTGATCCTCCATGTGCAACTTGAAACGTGCTTGGTGATCCGTATGGCTAATTGTCTGAAGCTTTTCTTTTTAATTTTCTGAAAGAAATTCACGAAAGCAATAGAATGTTTAAATTTACTTATACAAAACAATAGTCGCTTGCGATTCGTCATTTTTCTATAATTGTGTCATTTGTATGAAACTTATTGTATTCTACACATCACTGCCTATAACGTTCAAGCGAAATGACGAATTCAGCAAAGAATAATCAAGCAATATCATTCAACGATAAATATCCATTAACCTTTAGAGGACTGGTAGCTTTTTTTAATTTCTACAGTTTTTGACTTTGGTGTTTAATACGCATGTTAAAGCGATACTGTAGAGGAAAAAAAATGCGAGATCGATGTAGAGCCGAAAAATTGGCCTAGTGTCTTCTACAGGTTAAATGATACACTTCATATCACTATAAATCATTTTCGATACGCCTCGTTGCTACCTTCCAACGATTACTCCCACGAGGTTCTTCGAAAATGAAAATACATTCCCTATGCCACCTACAGTTAGCATCTACTTCTCAGAGGATACAAAATAAATATTATATAAAAAAATGAAAAAACTCAGAGCTTCCATTTCAATCAAAATGCTATAGGAAGTGTCTTCCTATGTCTCGCGCAATCGTCTCCTGACCTACCCGAAATTCAAGGCTCTTTGCAATCACACGAATTATGTAATTTATTTTATCAACAATTAATTTGTCTTATACTAGACAAGATACGCAAGCGTTTAATTATCTACTGAATGATGTTAAATGGATTTTTCTCTTTCATTCTTTGCTAATTCAATCTTCTGACGATCCTATAATTATTGTATCTCCACTTTGCAAGGCCATAGCTTCGTTATTCTTGATTACGGAATTGACTTGCTAAAGGATCTTTTCTATAATGCGAATATACGTACATTTGATGTGTGATACGATTACTTTCTTCTTCGTTCGGAAAACATATGGCAGCTCATCAATGTTTTTTTTTTTTCTTGGTACGCAGATTCGATAAAAATTGGCATTACAGATACTAGGCTTGTATCGATGAAATTTTTAATTGCTAATGGCAATGTATACAGGCTGTGCCGAGTGTACTATGAGTATACTGGCTGCGGCGTATAGTGTAATATAACGTGAACGCTAATGAAAATTCCAAAAGTTTGTACTATACTTATTATAATAAATGACCACATCTCATATGACAGCGGATGGTAAGAGACTGTTGTATAAATTTAATGATTACTTTATACAAACTTGATCTTGAAATTACAGATATAAGGAAAAGCTATGAGAGAAACGCGACTTTGCACATCCTGTATATTTTGTATTGATAGGAACAAGTCTGTGTTTTTTTCTTGGTGTCATACAGGATATTCAGTTGTGGATTATTATCCTCTTATGTCAGATAACACAATCATACGTGTTTCATGCATTATATGTAAAATCGTTGTACAGAGCGATGAAGAAGTACCTATGTGACAAGCCTTAGTTCTACTTACGATAAATTTCCGCTGAGATCTTTTACAAAACAAAATGAAGGAAATTTAGAAGTTTCGTAACGATGATCATGATTATATTCCCTATCGCGAAAACTTGGGTTATCAAGTTTTTTCTCTACTGAGATTTTAATCCGTAATTACATGATAAATCGCATATTCACTGGACAGATCACGATGGCTCGTGAATGGAACTAATGTCGCTAAAGTAGTGAGATAAATAAAAAAAAAGAAAGCCTCAAAAGGAATAATCCCTCGGGTGGACTAATTTTGCGTGCGTGCAGACAGAACGTCGTATAGATTTTTGTATGAGAGAAAAGTCGCAAATTATATGTTACACTAGGACTACCTGCAGTCTATATAATAATTAGAAATAAAACTCTGAATGTATGTGTATAATAATTGATTATTGCCTAGATAAGGGTGCGTCGTACGAGTTTAAAATCTACTAGCCCACTATTATATCAGATACTGGGTAATAATAAAGATGTCCCCGTGACATTTTCATTTTTAAATTTGTCCTTTTTTATTCATTCAGGGTTTTCAGATTTAGAAAATTTTTATTACCCTGGAGTAAGTTCAGGAAACAATGTTAAACGATTTTCATGTTACTTCCTTCTGTAATGTTGGTAAGTATTCGGCACATTGAAAATTCTTGGAAAATCCAAATTTTTCTATAGAAAAAAAAGATTGTAGGTTCACGGCGGGATTTTCGTAAAGGTAACTATAGAAACTCGACCATGAGTGAACGCAGCCTTGTTCTTAACCTAATGGTCAAGAAGAGAAGTCGCCGACATGACGCCATTGAAAACTTGAATCGGAAATGGTCATTACGCTCCTCGCAGTGTCAAACCGGTTAATATTAAATTTTCTTAATGGTTTAATGCTGAAATGCTCATTGTGATTTTACCAGGTTGTGGTTGAAGTGTTATTAAGAATTTTGGCGTGCAAGGTGAGTAAAATGAGTAACATTCATGACAACAAATCTTGTGAAAGCTGTACGAGAGTCTGTTCGATTTTCCAAGACTGTACATCTCATTTTCTAATACATCTATTAATAATTGGATCGCATTATAATCGCGAATTATTTCATCAGTCTTTCAAGTATGAGAAGTAACGTGGAAATGATATGTCACTTGAAATAGCAACCGTTGAGGTCTGCAATTTATGTCAGTGCGAACTTTAACATGGTGTATACGATGCATGCGGTAATTCACACGAACGCTGTGAAAACTGTAAATATTGACAAGCATAAGACTTCTTATCACATTGTATTTTCAACCTAAATTCTGGTACATAACTTGAGTATTCTATGTATCAATATTAAATGCAGTACATTCTCTACTAGAATTCCTGAGGAGGTTATGAACATACTTTATACCTCAAGACCTTGAATAATGAATTTTATTTCTATGAATATATTTCCCTTTATTGATTCGTATATAATTCTCTGTATGCGTGTCAAACAATATAATACTGGAGTAATGAGAGGTCGGATATTGATATAATATGGATATATGTATGGTATTTTGTGGTTGGGTTTAACGCCAGCAGGTGTTCCGTGCAGTTTATAGCGGGAATTATGAACACCATAAAATTAATAAACTTAACCTACTAGTGCTGATTATATCAAGAAACACGATACACTAGGACATAACAAATTTTAAACAAGTAAGTTTGAAAAAGATGCGTGACGATAAATAATAAACAAATAGTGTTGGGGGTGTTAGAATTTTTATTAATTGCATTTTAAAATATCTTGTGCATCATATAGTTTCAAGTGTATGTATATAGGGTTTGTATGTTATATAGTCAGAAATAATTACTATTAAATCACACTGTTGCTCAATTTTCACAGCTGATCGTTATCAGATTTAATCTTCATTCATTCGAAAATGTATCAATCATTGAGTGAATGGATATACTACGTTCGTATTTTGATTTACTGGATGTACATGAAGCAATGTTTGACCTGGTGTCTGTTTCGTTCGATAAAGACGGCACCAGACGCGCAAAGAAACGAAATATATAATTTCTACCACAGATAGAAAGCTGAAGCCCATAAAAAGACCTAATAATCCTCCGGTACTGGCTGAAATATCGATTAAAAAATTAAATCCAAATAATTTTAAGTATAAAAGGTACAAAAAAAACTGTTTTACTACTCACAGAGAAATTCAGTGAATCCAAATAATTCATTTTTTACGTACTTTGTGAATTGCGAATCGACAAAGAACAGATGTACCACAGCTAAATTTTCCCTAAAACATATATTAAATATAATTCATGTATAGTTCAGTGTTTTCACGAAATACAGAAATTCAATGTATTTACGCAAAATATGCTTTGTTCTTCTTCACGTATATTTCGTTTACTTCGAAGCTGGAAACGAGTTTGCTCTGCGAGATTTCAATATTATAATTTATTTCAAAACATCCTGGCCAGCAGTTGCAGCTTGGTCTAATTAAAAAAAAAAAAAAAACTTATTTGAAACACCATTGAATTAGTATCCAATTCTTAGTAATAAATATATTACATCACTCTACACGATAACCCACGTTTCTGTAATATTCAGCCAATTAGTTGTATTGTCTTCGTCATAAAGTTTCTGTTCCATTGCTTTTCGTGCTTGCATCGCACACAAGTTATCTCGTTTTCCACAAATTGGCGTATTTGCCGCTTCTATAAAGAAATGTTAGAAAAATATGAATATAGAACGATATACATCGAATCGAATATAGATTATAAAATATGAGGATCATAAAAGCATACTTGGCATGTAATGCTCTACGCACTGACAAATCTCCCGTGTAAAATTTGCTTCGCATTCCAAAATGCAATTTCTCTGTGTATACGTTCTGTAATATCTGAGCTTTCTTTCCGTAGTAAAAAAACACTTTCTCTTCTTCAGGGGCACCTTGATGATGGTCTTACTAGCCGTGGTTATCCTGGGTGAAATGATAACACGAGTTTCGCTGCCAGGATTCAGAGAAAATCCAAAATCCGCAATCTTCGGCGTCTCAACCGGATTGTGCAGCAGCATCTGATAATTAATAATTTTGATTCGAAAGCCACTTTAGGTATTGAAAGAAAATTTTTACATACCTTGAAACCTACGCTCGCTGTCGAGGAACAATAATATTCTTCTATTTCTGCATCCAGGACCAAAGTCAGTCCCATTTGTCTACCTGAACCATATGGTCTCCATGGAACTGTGTCGGGTGGTGTATCTGGTGCATATCCGGTTTCCGGTTTCCAATCGATTCCCGTGAACGGAAATGTCATATTTAAATCTGACCAGTCACGACTGAAAATTTTCAGATTGATTACAGATACGAATTTTTCAATCTAAATATTAATATCTTTTTGACATTTCACATACGGATTGTAAAATAAGAATTCTCTGTTAACGGAATTGAAGTTACAGCAAATTCCTTCGTCCGTCATGGTTGGGTTGAAGATCTTCTCGCAATCCGTTATGTTCTGGTGCCATTGACACAAGTAGATCATTTCTGTACAGGGTTGAGAAACCTGCGAACGAACGTTGCTTGCTAGATAATTTAGTTGAAAATATTTGATTTAATCAATTAACGTACATTAATCATAAATCTCTGCACTGTACTCCACTTGCCGGATTCTTCATCCAGATCCCCGGAAATTGTGTAATTCTCAACGTCGCACATGTCTTCCAGTAAAAGTTTCTCCAATCGATCATTTCTGTAATGATTTCAAATCTCAAGTCTTTTTATCAATTTTATATACATCTGATACTAAATTAATGATTTTTCATATAATTCCTACCCTTCAGTTATTCGAATGGCTTCCTTCTTCTTAACGTTATTCATATTGCAAATGGTGATAGATGGAAAAGGTATTTCCGTAAGAGACATCGGCTCGGGACTCAATGAAATTATTATTGGAGTAGTAATCCATTTTTGATATAAAGTCCATATAAAGTATCCAGCAGTCGTTACAGCCGCGATGAACGATATTATCCAAAATAGCCTGAATCATTGTTCGAATTATTTCAATAATAATTAATCAAAGTAAACCACTCAATATTACCTCTCAAGAATCGAAAGGCTAGCATCCCCTATGTATCTTAAACCATGAAGCGAACTATTGTTACAATATTGCTGAATGGTAACACCAATCTCAGATTTTTTAAGACAAAGATGAAACTCGTCCTTCCTCATAGTAGATCTACAAAAAAATCTCATTGATTCAATCCTAATAATTTTTCTTCTCAAATCATACATCACCTCTCAAACTTTTCACGAGTCTTGTTCAAATGCTCTATCGAAGAAACTTCATGTCTTTTCACTTTCAAATTATTGTGCCTGGGTCTGAGTGTCATCTCTCTGGACCGATACATGTTCTATAAATTATAATAAAATATTAAAAAATTTATATCAACACAGTACACAGTACATTAATCCACCGTGTCTCACACCTTCAGATTTGAATTCTTCGGTGTGTATCTCTCATAAGGCGACGGTGTCTTGTATGGATTTTGCAAATGCACAGTGTTAACGGAGTAAGGGAATTTGGTCGTATGATTATTCAAGTACACCAAACTACCCCTATCCGTAGTTCTATAATTTCTGAACGTGTCTATCGTCAAATGGTTCTCAGTGTTCTCGTATCTGTCCAAATCCACAAGATAGGATTGATTATTCATACCAGACGCACTAGGAGGACTTTCACGTGTATCCTCATGTGTTATCAATCTGCTTCCTGGTGGTAAACTAATTTGGAAAAGAGGTCGTAAAGGATTCCACACGTCTAATATATGTCGATTAGTTTCAGGCAGCTTGTACGGCGGCGGTGCTAAATCCTCCATTTCATCACTGCACGCTTTGGCGTAATTCTTCAAATCCTCTTACAATCAGCATCCCGTTCATTGAGACATCCTCAAGTTTACCCTCTGTCGAGGATGCGTCAAGGTCTTCCTGAAGCAACAAATTAAAACGCGACTTTGAACGTTAACAAAGTTTTTTCCCAGGGTGGCACGAGAGCTTTTTCAGAAAATATTTTCACATAATTAAGCACCACTTGAGAATCTTGATGTATTCATCCCCATCTTGCATTATTCTCCAAGGGCATCTACGTTGCTAAATATTCAAAGTTACCCCTAACGATGCCGCAGAGTTGACAACCACCCCACAAGCTTTACCAACTCGTAATGCTTTTATTTTATCCCTCTTACTATCCACCTATGTCACGTACATATATATTCTGACGTCTCCATTTACGGGGTGTTCCTATAGTTTTTTATCACGCACTTCTCTTTTTTTTTTTTTTTCACGAAATCTAAAGTATCTCCAAGGGTTGCTGCTAATTACTTTTTTTTTTCTGCTCACTAAGGTACCGTCGGCATAAACTAATTATTGTATAACAATTTTGAGGATGTCGTTAAAATACTCTAAGGAATAGATACCAGAATTATTGTCGGGCAAATACGATTAGTATGACTACACTTTCCTAATGATCTGTAAGACAGATACTGAAAATAGACAATGATTAATAAATATGCTTGTAGTGTTTGACCGATCCTAAGATATTAGTATACCTATCTTTCTTTCGTTCTTATTAATTATTCTGTACCAATATTTCTATATGAGAAACGTGGACTAATTAGACTTGATATCGATTTGTGTAAATTTTTTTCAATTAAAATATTACCTCTTATACGAGTAACGTAATAGGAATTTAGGGCAAATTAATTGTCTGTGGATATATATGACTTACCGTGCAGATGCCAATTGTTAATCCGATATTAACGTTATAGCGTAATAATTTCCAATTTCAGGGTGAAACAGATGAAAATTTCATGATACTTTGTATTTCTGAATCTGGAGTAAACTAAAACTCATTTTTTAAATATATTTATTTATACATAACGTTGTAACAGGTATACTTGGTATACTGTTTTCTGCTTGCTGGCTTTATCGCTGTGTCCTGTGTTTACTGCAAGTATATTGGATTACTGTAATTAGGACGGTCAACATGAGTAATGTACTGTATCTCTTTATTAAATAGATCGAGTGATTTATTGTCTACCCACTTCAATTTTATTCGTTACTTAGTTCGAAGTATTTTAATCACTTAACTAAATTAATCGGTGGAGTTTTTTTTTTTTAAGGAATTCGCAGTTTATGGGAAACGTTTTTAATAGATGAAATATTTTGTTTTGCTGAGTTGATCGTAATATAATTTCTTACTGGAAACATACATTTTTACCATTGTTACGGTTGACTTTTTCGTACGCTTAATTGTATGGAATATTTCTTGATTAGATACAAAAGTCCTGGGTATCGGTAATTGAATGAAAATGATATCACACGGACATCACATTAAAAATATTTTCAGATACAACAACGTGTAAACTTATTCCGATAGAAAAGTAAATGAAAAAATTTCTATTGTAAAAGGAATCTATAGAGCTAAATTTTAATCAGTTAAATTGTACTTTCATATTATCGTTCACCCCAATGTCGTTTACATTTTAATCGCCAACCCTTAGAAATTCACTTAACGAGAGTCTGCGGTATTAAACTCTCGCAATTTTCCAGACATCACTTATTCTCCACTAATTAAGAATAAATTGATCGCGACAATGTCACATTGAAATCCTTAATCGAGGAATTATTAAAGATTAAAAGTCGTTGATTATCGTGCTAAAATTTCAATAATATCTAACTTCCGTAATGATACACAATGTCACTTCAACATTTCACGTGAATTGTCATATTTTAATCACACGTAATTATCATGAATTATCAAGAACTCAAGCCAGCGTCAATGTTTACCAAGCGAATCGATTCGATGACATATAATACTAACATATGAGAGCAGTCAGTGTTCCATGTGCATTAATCGTAAAATCTATTTTTCACGATATAACAAAAGATTAACCGGAAGTGTCAGGATGATTCCACCTGGCCATTGGGTTGCTTTATGATCAATAAAAAAAAATGACTAACGACACTAATGATTTTATAGAAAGAATTTTCTATCTAACAAAATTCTATATTCTTTACTATCCAACTATAAGTTTTTATAAGTTTATACGTTATCTTACTCTAAGGAATAATAATTTAACTTATCACCATAAGCTGTGCAACAATACTATGCTATATTGTGAAAGCCAACGTCACATAGTAATATAAAAATTCGATGAAAGCTCGAGATTAGTACTTGGCCGTTATAGACGTAAAGTTAATAAAATGAGAGCTAAATACGTATCACCTGGTTACCAGACTTAAATACAAATTTATGTGACAAATCGTAGCGAGTTTTCATTTATTGCACCTCTTAGCCAAACTGTAATGCGGGGCTTAATGCCCTGAACATTTTTTTTATTATCAGTAACACTAATTTCACTCCCACGGTGTGTTTCGACACGTGCTGTCCGTAGAGTCACGTTCGTGTTTGTCTTTTATTATAGATCGTCTTGACATAATTACTTCGTAAATATTCCCATATTTTTTCTCTTATCACTAGTTAAGTATACGTATAGTTGGTTCACGCTATGCTCATCCTTGATGGTTTTGTTATGCTGTACATTGTGGCAGTGCATACGGCAAGTGTTGCGACTGGATATTTGTTCGCGTGTAGACACGGAGAAATGTGCTGGCTTTATCGAGATACTTTAGAACTGAGAATAAATAATGAGAGGAATTATGAAGATACGACGTAGAATTTCAGATCAAAGTCTAGGGCATTTTTATTGGAGATGTCTGTAGTCGGCACTTTATAGATTAAGATTATTTGTAAGACTGCGTGAGGAACGTCTGGGCTCTTGAGTGATCTATAAATAGTATTGTAAGCATTGTTATTTTTTTTTTAGCAATTATAAATACAATTGATCATTCATTACAGGGATAGCTTTTATAGCTTGAGTGGGCTTTCCGCCATTTTTTTATTTAAATAATGTAAAATTCGTTTTTTGAATGATTTTACGATCTGTTTGTTGTATTTATACGGTGAAAACAATATGTCTGTTATAAATATACAGATCTTATCGGGTTAATAATGTGCTAGCAAATGATTTGAATTTTTCCAGCCACAATATGTTTATGCGTGCTTTTCCAACATGCAGGGTCGTTGCTTTTGTAGAAATGCTGATTTATGGAATGTGTTAGGATTGTTCTGGAATCAGTTGAAAAGCAGTTATTACTATCTTATGTTATTTTTTATTGCAGGAAAGAGAATGTCAGGCAAGAAAAGAAAACGAAATCCAGATGTCGAGGATCAGAATTTGCATCACTGGGAAAAGGATCATGTCCTTCCTGATGTACTCAAGCATGAGATTGGAACTATGTGGGAGGTATTTGTATTTTATTATCGTAATTTGTTATGGCACGTGCATTAGCCCATTAGTTAATATCGTTTTTTTCAGATTCCACAAATTTTTCACTTTTTCTATTTGACCAAAGATGTACTGGAAATTCCTTATTTATCAATGTACGAGATGGAGAGGATGCTCTTGATGCCGAGAGCTTCAATAAGATTGGCTGCTGTCATGACTGCCTTGCTAAGGTAAAATTCAGGTTGGAAGAAGAAGCTTGAGAGGAAAAGAAATTCTGTTCGGGAAATATATATATATATTTTTTTTAAATTACAGTAGTCCTGTCGGGAAAGCTAAGATGCGCAAAGTTCCCTCGATGCCATATAAGTTTTGGACCAACGTTTTGACTCACAAAGTTAAAGGATGGTTCAAAGTTTATTCTATCAAGAAATACGATCCAATAAAGGTAATAATATTAGATAGAGCATGATCATTTTTTTCTTACGTAATACTTGTAGATTCTATGTGATAATGCTTTTGTTTTAGGTTTTTGAGACGACGGGAATCGAGCCAGAGTTTTGGGAAATCTTTCCAGATGTTTCCCACGTGATTAAAAATGATTTTGCGGAGCTTACTTTAAAGCAAAGAATTTGGCTGGTAAAAACGATGTGCGACACGCTAATGGTAATAGATTACTTTATTATATGACTTATTCATTATCTGTTTCATGCTTTTGATTTTCAGCATGCTAGAAAAAGTATACAACACGCAATTGAGAAACAAAAATGGGAGGATCAATTTGAAACGGTACTAGGAATAGACAGATATGGAACAAAATATATTTATTTTCCACAGTTCCTTGAAACCGATCTAAGAGTTTACAGATACTCATCATCAGCATTTGGGGTACAGAATTAATTAATTCATATATATTTCTCAAATCATGAAGTAGTATAATTTATTAAACGAGTTAAATTTGTTTAGTCATCCAATGCAAAGGAAAAGTCAGAGCTGAAAGTCGAAGTGGTAGATCATGAGGTTGTAGTAGAGAAACCAAAACGTAAAAAACGTAAGATACTCTGGAAAAGCAGTCAATCAAGACGAAAAAGGCACAGAAAAAAGATCATAGATAAGGATGTCAATGACTGTAAAGATAGTGTGGACAGTGCTGTAAAATCGCCGAAAAATTGTGACAAGAATTCTAGTAGTGAGAAACTGTGCAGTAATAGTCTCTATAGCGATTTAGAGGCAGTAAGTTCAAAGCGTTCTAGAAGCTCCTCAGAATCATCAGAAGGAAGTGTTTTACCCATGGGTACTAAGTGTAACAGTGCTAAGTCTAGTGTTTGTGATACTAATGGTTCAAACGACGTGAAAAACTGTAATGGTGAATCATCGGACATGATGTTCAAAGGATTTGTTGGGGAAGGTGATATAGAGAAGAAAAACATTTCCATGATACGTGGTATACTTAATGATCTGACTTTAGAAGTGTGTGGCGATACTAATAGAGGAGATTTGCAATCAGCAAATTTAACATTGGCTATTAAAAAGAAAAAAAAGCGAGTTTGTAGTGACTTAAACATCCAAGAAATTCCTGATAAAGTTCACAATGGTTACAATTCAAAGCATCATGATTTGGCCGTGGTAGCTTCAGGATCAATATCCCCCATTGTTGCTAATAGTTTGTCTGCTATAAATGTATTAAGTAAGTCAAAGACAGACGATGAAAAAGTAATTGAAATAATTTCAAATGACTCGTCGATGATTAAGGATAAAATATGGGATGAAAAGTCTGACAAACAAACATTAATAACATGCAAGTCAGACGATGAGAAATTAATTGAAACTAAATACTCTGGAACTGAAATTTGTATTGACAATGCTAAGGAGAGTATCTTTAATGTTAGAGTGAAGTTTGACAATACAATAAACGAGTTACTAAAATGTAATAAACTATCTGAAGAGAAAAATAAAGAAAGTGAGAGCGAAACTGTTCTTGATCAAGGAATGAATAAACAAGAGAGTGTTGCCACCTTACAAAATAAGGAAAATTACATCGAAGATAAAAATGATAATAATCATAAAGACGATTTTAAGAAGGATGATACTCGAAAAACAACACAAGAGAAAGCCTTAGAGAGTGATGATGACATTTCTCTTTTGCAAAGAATTATTAAAGTAAAAGACCCTAGTAATTTAGAAGACGAGAAAAATTCAATTCAAGAAAAGAAGGAAAAAAGAAAAAAAAGGGTAGGTCTTACAAGGGAATATGTTACAAGGAGAACAATAAGGTTAGAACAAACAAAAAGTGAATCAACAAAACAGTCAAATTCACCTGTTCATACAAAATTGCTAAAAACTAAATCTGAAGATCAGTGGGAAAAATCTAGCAATGATTTTCAAGAGGACTTGGTCAAGGAAGATGCTATAAAGAGTGATAGGCAGGCTGAAGATGAAGAATTTCATTTAGAGGACTTTAAGGTCACATTACAGAGCGGGAAAACTCATGATGCTGCAAGAGTTAACTACAACAATATGGCTAGTGGAGAGAAGAATATTCAAACGCATAGACCACAAGAAGAGATTGATAATTTTAAAGAATTACTATCCGATCTGAGCGTTTCAACGTTTGAGTTAATAGCTGATAGCGTTCAAAGTCTAAAAGAATTTCTGGTTACATTTTCTGCGGGTGCACCCGCTGATGACAGTATTGTGAGTAAATGAATTGATATCATCTAAATGTGTATTAAAAATGGCTAACTGTTAACTTTCAATTTCTTATTTATTGAAGGATGATAACATGCCACTCTGCGAGGTACTGCTGTTGAAGAAATTGCAAGAATTATTTGAATCTGTAGCGAGCTTGGAACCGGATTTAAAGAATTCCACAATAAGAGCAAGAAAGAGATTGTACTGTCACTGGCTAAAATACAGAGCAGAGTATGAACCAATTTTTATTTTACATTATGTATGCATGTACAGAACCTATTATCGGGAACATCAAATATGTTTTAACAAATTCACTAGCTATTCATTTTCATAAACATCTTAATTACATTACAACGGATGAATGCGGCGTGAATGGTATAAAACATTAAATATCATTGTACAATTTTCCATACATTTTTAAATAATTTTTGCAATCATTTATACCATTTATAATTATTATCGTCCTACTTAAAATTTACGTGCATTTGTTACTTTCGCACGAACATACGATTTTACTTTACAATTAATATACCAGAAACAAATGAAGTTCGACATATCCTTAGAAGTATTGAGAAAGTACTATCAAAAAAACACGCCTTCCATCCGATTTGGACTAGAGAAACCTATATGTCAAAATTATTTGATACTTACAAGCACCCTCTTACAATTGTCTTGTGTTGTGTCATGTTGTCGTACGTTGTCGAGCGTGTATGGCACACGAGCTGCTATGTGTTGTAGCGTTGAGGAAGATCAGGATGAAGACTGGTCTGGTGAGGGTGGTCTCGGCTCTAATTGGTGGGTTCTTGGATCGCAGGGATGTCCATTGCTATCCTCTGGCGAAGCAACATTACGGACTTTATCGCAATCTGCCGTATCCCAAACTGGCCCCAATATCCAAATTCGCAAAACCACTGGTGAAGTTGAAGAGAAAGTCAAAGTTGAAAGTCAATCGAAGCAATGGACAAATGAAGATGAGTCCTGCGATGAAAAAACCCGGGGTACAGAAACTTGTGAGCAGGAAGAAAGACGAAATCAAAGAATCGAGAAAGAAAAAGGCAAAGAAGAAGAAGAAGGTGAAACTGGAAGAGACAAGCAAAGAGGTAAGTTCCGTTCCGTCAGTGAGAGTTCAAGGTTTAAATTGTGTACAAATATTTATGTTCAATTTAATTATTTTATTTTACAGGGACGGAACGACAAACGACAGGACGAGTGTTGCGGGCACGGGGTGTGCCTTTATACACAGAACAATACTTTTCGGACGACGAGAGTGAAGAGGGTGAGCTGGATGTATGGACCAAATTTAAGACAATCTACGAAGCTTCCAGCCAATCGCCCGGTACACCCGCTTCAGACACTGTCGCGCAATCCGGCCAGTCTGATGGCGAATCGGAGGAGGACTCAGACAAAGATTGGATTCTACCGGGAACTCGCAGGAGGAAATATAAGCGTACGTATAAATAATAATTTTGCTTCACGTTCATTAAGTCTTACGCAACTCTATCAGTTAATGAATTTTATAAACACTGCAGGCAGTGCACGACAGCTAACTACATTCCACCAAAGACAATTTAGAAAATATAAACATATGAAATCTATAGAAAAATATATGACGACCAATCCAGTTAGATCAATCGAATCATCATCAAAGAAATCTCAGCCAGCAAACTCTAACAATACAATGCGAACATGGCGCAAGTTAATTTATTCCGGTAGGAGAATCAAAAATAAACAAGAAGTGAAGCGAGATCATCTCGAGGATGACGAAGACGAGGATGCCGCAAAACCTATTATTATTCACAGTGTACATTCCGAATTAGACATCAAAGACGAAGGTCCCGTCACAACTCTTGCACCCAGTGAAACTACGAGTAATTATGTACCTCAGGGTTTTGTTGTTGTCAAAGCAGATCAAGTTCCCGCAAATTATTATTTAATGAATCCAAGCGTTCCTGGTTTCGTGCAACAAGCTCCAGTGATGCAGCAAAGAGCTTTGATGCAACAGGGTGCACTTGTACATCAAGGAACTATCGTGCACCAGGGTGCCATAGTACAGCAGGGAGGAATCGTTCATCAAGGAACCATCATGCAGCCAGGAGCTATAGTACAGTCAGGTGCTATCATGGCTGGGGTCCTTCCACAAATGTCACCTGGTTACTATGTACAAGATTCTTCAAATTTTGTAGTTCAAAATACACAAACGAATTTTGTATCAACACAGGATACCATAAGTAACTCTCAAAATTCTCAACCAGTGGTACTTCACCCAACAGCATCCGTTATGGGGTCACAACAATTTATTAATTCACCGAATTACGTACATATGCCATACGTTGCGGGTTCACCTGCACAGACAAGTTTCATACCAGCAGTTACTCAGTCATTGACACCAAGAAGTGCAATTGCCGGACATATAATTCGCCAGAGTACACCAGTGCGGGTTGCAAGTAATTCTCAACAAGGAAGTTCTGTTGCTCCAAGGGCAGATTTTCCACATCCTAATGGTGCAGTAATAAGAAGTAGTTTGCCTATTAGGAGAACGTTTCACAGAACTCATGGACCCAGGAACTTAACTTCGCAGAATGCCTCGTTTAAGGGTACGAGAGGGAAAACATCAACGGCCATGGAGAAAGCGAGTTCTCATTCAGGTCCATCGAAGACGACGTCGTTAATCGTTCTGAGCGATGGTGACGATGAGATCGAGATGATTATTCCTGAAAAGTCAAATAATGAGACTGTTACCGCACAGATACAGAATCCATGTAAGAGGAAAATAGATCAACAAGAACAAAGAGAAAGGCCAGTTCTTACATTGCAGGCAGTAACGCCTACTACAAGTACTATCTTACATCCGGTGATCATGGAACGACTTAATCAAGGTGAAGTCTCGATAACGCCAATCAAACCGACACCACCACCTATACAAACTGCTGGTACACAATTGATTGTGGTGGTTAATGAAACTGGAAGCCACTACGCATTGGCATTACCTAACGGAAGTAAAATCATTCTTACACCAGATCAAATAGCGCAGATTAGAGCTTCGAATGGAGGTAAACTTATTTTGTAAATGACATCATATAGGGTGTTGAATCTTGAGCTTTTGTACAGATTCATTATAAAGGTATCGTAATATGTTTGTATGTAACTGGAAACAATTAGGAATGTGATTTTGAGCGAACTGAGTGGGGAGTGTGTATATTCTCTTGAATGTGATTATCCAAGTATATCCTTCGATTGAACTTATATATTTCATTGATTTTCTATCGTAGTCCCTGATATTCTATTTGTCTAAATTTCAAATGGTATTCTATTATAAATAGAGCAACACCGGAAACACTTTTATAGATATTTGATTATGAGTTGTCCATATTACATTCATTGTTCGCTGTTACATGTCTCTGGCATTTTGTATGTTTCATTCATGAGTTTTCAAGTTATTTTAATGCCGTGACAATTGCTTGGAAGTCTTTCTTTCTCTTCTCCATCTAAACAAACTGGTGTAATCACTGTTATTCCTTTTTATTATTCCTTACACTTATTATTATTTCCAGATAGATTAATAGAAATTGCATCAGCGACTTGTGACTGAATTGAAGTATCAAGCTGTTTCAAAATAGTAATTAATATTTTGTGACAGAATGTTTCACCCTCTTTGGAAGTGTTTAACTTCCTTGTATATTCAATGGTCCAATATTACATTGGAATAAATATTATTTATATATATTTCTTAGCAGTGAGTTAGTTTATAAGTTAATAATTCAATTTATTTGTTTAATGTACATATAATCCATGGATTTCTTATGGATATGACCTGATATAATTTTTCAATTTTTGAATAATAAAGTATGAGGCGTTTTATATATTGAATATAATCAGAAAAGGCACAAGGAAAAACATGTGGAATATAAATGTCTGGTCACACATTAAGAAATATAACGAAAAGTCTAAATTCATTATAGCAAAACTACGTCTTAGTTTGCTTTGTACAGTGCAAATATATACTGCAGTAATATCTCTGGTTATAATCCCAATATTATGCAGTTATATATTAGGAATGAATATGTAATATATATGTTTATTTATATATATTTTATTTTCTAATTTTGTCTTGAAGATACTCTTAATTATTTTTGAGTCTCATACGAGTTCTAAAGTTTTTGTTCATCGTTTCGTTACCAATACGCCAATTGTTTGTATTTTCTATCCTAAGTACGGAAGTAGATTTCGCAAACCTATGTAATCTGAAAATATCGGCCATTGTTTACGAAGGTCTACAAGCATAGCTGAGATTAATATAATATATGAATAGAAATAGTCAGTCTTATATTATAAAAAAAATATTGTCAGGATGCACATGTTCTTTTATTAGAGTTATCAGCTGCAATTATAAAAATTCATTGTCGATTAGAATTTCTAAAGAGTATTTGACGTCACTTCCGCCTTATACGAAATCACCTTTCATTTTGTGACAAATAACCAATTTAAAAAAATAAATGTAATTTAAGAAAACCTAAGGTTTATATGTGCTTTTGGTTTTTCTTTTTTATCCAATAATTTCATGTTGATTCAACGAGAACACGAATTCGTGGATTTATACCATCGTATTCAAAGATATACAGCATGAATCAATAATTAGGATAATTCAGATTAAAATCAACAGCGTATGTTATTCTCGTACAATTAGTATATTACAAGTATGTTACAATTTTGTTTTTCGTTGAGAAAATGCACTAAGTCAGGGTTTTTATAATGCATGGTACCACGAAAATTATGATGTTGAAGAAACGTTCAACCATACAATGAAACGGAATGTCAAATAGGAAATAATCATAGGTATGGACACTATGTCAAAGAAAGGTCTTTTCCTTGATCAATTATTAATTGATAAAAAATTGATCGCATTTTTTTTTTCGTTTCGTATGTTTAGTAGGATATGGATCAGCATTGTCAGATTATCACTGAAATCTTTGATTCGTTGTATTATGACTTGATTTTTATTTTTAAACTTGGTTTTTTTTGAGGTATATTTCTTTGTCGAGATCTTGAAATTTTGTCAGACGTGTTCCATTATACGGTGTATCGCTGCCAGGTGGATGGAGTCTCATCTAAAACAGGAGATCAAGAGATATTTTTGAAAATGTAATAAGAAAATTATCGGACACAGTGTCGTCACGAAATCACTGGTACATACTGATTTCTGTTTGAAAATCACTTAATCAGTGCAATAAATGTTTTCCATTTGTTTACCGAAAACAAAATTGTTTACATACCGCAAAAAGCTGTAGATCCCCACTGTGAACTTGGCTAATTGATTTCGAAAAATTCAGAAGAGTTCCTTTGAGTTTTTGTCGGTGGAAATCAATTAGAAATTTGACAAAGTATTTACTGTCAATAATAAATTGGTATAAGGGAACTACAGGAAGGATGCAAGTGAAATTCTAAATAGAATTGAATATCCATTGTTATACACATGTTAACGGTTCAAAATCAAAATTCTGATTTCTTCTACGAAAATTAATAGAGTGATAGATTAATATCAAAGTGACCCAATAAATTCCATTTAAAATTGTAATCTAACCTTATAGACGATTTTTTGCGCGACAGGGATAATTACAGTGGTAGTATTGCAGTGGGTAATAGAAGATTTCTACAGTACCGAACTTACCACAAATTAATGTTCGTTACCTAATCCAAAATATTACAAAAACATAGAAAAATTAGAACGAGGTAGAATAGATTTAAAGGTTGGTCTCGAGAAATCCAAAATGGAATCGAGCGTCTATTCAGAGAACAACACCTTTCTATTAATTAAAATGAAACACACATAACGATGATACATTATAAGCCCAAGTAAAAAGTATCCAAGTATCGTGCACAGTAAAAAATTTTCAAAAATACTGAAAATAAAACATTACAAAATCTTTAACTACTCTGATCGATTAATAATCCAAACTACTTGCCGACACCGTTAGTTTATTAATAAAAGTTACTAAAAAAAAATACAGTTCACCAGTACATGTATCGTAAACGTTAATTTTTATTTTGATTTTACATGTTATAATACTGGTTCGAGCACAGTAAATGCATTTTCTCCATCGTCGTATCGAATTATATTTTTTTTTAAATGTCGAACCTACGACACATCGATCTCGTATAAAATACAGCGAAATATCGATAACTCGCCAAACGTTTCGATACTTTTGCATTGATTATCAAAATCCATATCAATTAATTCGAGCCTGTTACGTGCATTAATTTCGCCATAAAAGCACAGCACTATATGGGACCAAAGAATCACACTGAATATCACGTTTTACATAAAAAAATCAATTAAAAAGAACTTCCAAAATCGTTATAAAATTATTCTCTTTGGATACAGAAAATTCAATTACAACAATATTCAGTATGCTTTGACCATCAGGCAAGTGACTATCCAATGGGCGACAGGCACGTGTATTAATATCAGCCGTATATATTAATTTCGCAGAAATCAAAAGTCAATCTAATTCTAATACAATGATGAATATGCATTAGTAAATTAAGTTTAAACCATGTTGCACCACAATCGGCGATTAATTTAGAATCTTTTTTATTCATCTATTTCTCGGCGTAGTCGTTGTCAGCGGCATCTCGATCCCCATCCAAGTTCCTGAAGCGCTTCTGCAAGAAAACCAACCACCAGGTTAACTTCATTCGGCGTGGGTTAAAGTCAGTTAGGGCCAGTTTGATTGATGGGCGATCTCATGGGGCTTGGGGGTATTCAGGGTTGCATTACGCATATATCTATTCACGTGCAACTATGAAAATGCAGATGATCCAGTGTAATTACCATCGTGACTCGAAAGGTAACCTCAAATCGATTCAACCTCAAGTAATATTAAACCACACGAGTTCATCAGCGGTAAGAAATCAGTGAATCAAATATAAGTGAAAGTCTACGTGGATTAAATAATATTAAAAAGACTGAAGAAATATGCACGTCACGTATCAAAACCAACGAATGAAATGTCTGGCCGTTACGTCAATTCTTCTTCGTATAGACGCTGTATACGTAATATCTAGACTGCACGACATTTAATCGCGATTCGTGTGCCGTTTTGCAAATAGATAGAAGAGAATGGTTTTGAATACGAGGGAATGAAGATGGCTGCTCTTTTCATCGGATTGTGTTCCAGAGTGTAAAAGGTCGGTTAAATAAATGTCCATATAACCTATGCTGTCTATTGTAACGTTCATGACTGCACGAGTAAGTAACGCGTATACTATTACTCGTGCTGTATATGCACGATAATATTTTAACTCTTGCACGTTTCTCTTTGACGTGGAATCGCTAGACTGATTCCTACCTGATCCGTTCACTCACCATGATTCTGTATTTTTCCTTGCACGCGTATTCGGTCTCGTCCACGTCGTTGTAACAGTCGCTCTTGTAATCCTCGGGTATCGGACCACCTTCGAATTGACATAATTTTGACAGTGGCTTTGCTCGTACTATCATCTTCTCGAAGCCAGTGGGTTTATGCTGAGGGCAGTAAAAGACGTCAGGAGTATTTTTGTCGAAGACTATACTCTTGCGCATCATGTCTCCAGCATGGACAAAGATGAGGAGTGTCTGTAGGAAGAAATTGATAGATTATATATTAATAATATAATCAATGATATATATAATTAATTACTAATTAATAAAATGGAGGGCACAGAATACTCCTTGAGAGATAAATAACTAAGATTGATAAAGGAATAATGTTTATCGGACGGATTTGACAGATTATATATTTTCCTCCGAATAATTAATGTAATTCTATATAATTAATAATTATTTAATGAAATAGCACTTCGAGGCAGTTTTACTAGTTTGAATTTTCGCGATAGTAATTTCAACGGCAATTATCAGATTGGCGTCTGCAAGGGTCCTAAACGATAAGTAGCATCTAGTGGAACATGAGTGACATTTAATTAAACGGTATTAATTAAGTTTGTCTTGAACTAAATAATTTCGCAGACTCAAAGTAACGGGATGCCGGTAATTAACGAAAATTCCGGTTCTTCTCTAACAGTCGGAAGGAACGTGAATCCCGCTCTACGGATTTTCAAGTGGGACAAAGTGGGACTTTGGGTCTCGGCGCTTTTGCCGTTTTATTTATTGACATTTGCAAACATCCTCTGTGCGATTTTTTACCGTTGCTGCACCGGTTTTGCCGGCAATTTTGCTACGATAAAAGTATCGAGCGGAACCGCTACGTTGAAACTCACCGCAAGGACGAAAGTTAGACAAAAGACGTGGACGTTTCCTGAAAGAGAAGAAAAAGAAAAGACATAAAATAGTGACCAGCTCCATGTTTGGAGAGCGGAATGAAGAAAAAAAATTACATTTTCTCGTTAGCATCTTGCGCAATTGACCTCGAGGTAAATTACCATTAATGTATCGATCTTAACATAAAACTAATACAAATACGTTACATTATACGGGTACCGTGAGGATTTTTTTACTAACGGTAAAAGAGAATTTTCTGAAAAAATATCCCCTGGTTATGTATATATATTGTACGTCCTAGATATATATTATAAATAAAATAAATTTATTCTCATTTTTGTATTATACAATATAACAAAGCATTATCCAGTGCAAAATATTGTGATTGTCCAGGACAAGAATGAAATCTTGCATCTTGCACCAATGGTGACTTGTATGAAACGAAAATATGCATGAGGTGTCATGCAGGATAGAGGTTACATTCCAGGACCTTTTGCTCTCCTAGTGCGACTTGGAAAAAAAACGGAATTCTATAAAGATTGCACAAGGACGACGAGTTCGAGTATAGCGTGACAGTGCTGCATTTCTCTGGCGATTCTAATTTTGAAGGAAATCAATGCTAATCAATTGGATATTGATATCGATATACACCTGTTATCGGAGCTGTAACAAGTAATAAATATTTCGAATGAACAAAGACCAAATTATTACTCGTTACAGCGTTACTATCATGTTTCGTTCTCCAAGAAAGGTAATACCGGTAGTGATTTACCTGACCTTCATAACCTTATTAACTTTGCATTGTTGCTATGACAGTTGAATTATCAGAATTAAATTGAATCAGAACAATTAATTTTTTATCTATTTTTGGGATTCCAAGTAGTATCTTAGATGATCCAAGTGCTATTTAAGATGATTTAAAATGTTATAGATATTTCTATATCTAATTGTAAGTGCCAAACGTATGTATGTTCAATGGCAGGTAGTGGGGAGTCTGGATGGAATTGAAAGTATAAAAATGTGGCCTACAAAGCAGCGATGGCGAGGCCAAGATTCTGACAAACAGAAGTAGTCATACTGCGTTAAGTGGCCGACTGAAAAACTTTGTTAAGATTTAAAAACAGTTTCTCTAATATGCACAGGTCTGAGTTTCAAGCGCGTTTGGTCAATGCACTTTGTGCGATGCAATTCCAAATTGTCAATTGAATTGATGCAAGGCGACCCATGTTGGTTAACACGATAATTGCATCTAGATGCACGTCCTCAGCTCAGGGTCGTGTTATCAGTGTCATTTCGTACTACCAGCCTAGTTTGCCCATAATGTAAATAAGCGGTATGCACTTTCGATAAGTTCCTAATCTAATCTGTTACTTTATCAAATTTTACATGTATTTTGAAAAATCAAGTTAATATTTACCAACTAAAATTTTCCATGACTCAATACAATAATCAAATATTATGATTGCCCTATTAACATATATATTGGTAGCATTCGATTAACAATAAGGATTTATGAATTTACACAGCCGTGTCGTTACTCATAACGATCTTTGGATAAATATTGAAACCGATACACACGTGCCTTCTTTTATTAATTCCACAAGCTTGAGTAAGAAAATAATAAGGAAATGAAATTATATTTGTGCAAAGATTCAACGATATACTATTTTAATTGTTATATCGGTCAGAATTTTTCTCGCGTGACGAATAATCCTGCACTTTCCCTGAAACGCGTAAGAAATCTCAAGCGAGTCTGATAAAATAATTGAGTCTGTAAACATAACGGGATACAACAATAAATAGTACATTTGTACGTTCTTCTAATATTAAGTAGACTCACGTACATATTTCCTGTAGATTCAGCCTATAGAATTTTTGCTAAGTAAATCGTAGTTTTGAAAAGCCAAAAAATACAGCATTGTACGAAAAAAAAAATTTTGTTTGTCTCCCCACATATTTAAATATTGGAAATGAACTATACTTTTTGTATTTTCAAGAAAATTCTGAAAATTTATGTCCACCTGTTGGAGACACACTGTACTATCTGTCATAGGAACATCTTCTGAATTCCTGAGCATCGCATCACGCGCCAAATAAAGAAACCTGCGTTTTCTCACTGTACAAGCTTTGCGATTTGACTTTTATACGATTTTTCATAGGAGACTCTAGTTTTTCATGTAAAGACGCTAGAAACTGGTACATGAATCATTGCAAACTTACCCATGCTGCGAGCGTGTGTGTCTCGGACAAAAGTTGTGGCGGAACCTTCGTAAGACAGCGTCTGCTGGTCGACTGAGTTGCCTTTGAAGTCTGTGGAGGCACGACGAGGAAGTGGGAGGACAGTGCCGTTAGGTTCTACAGGATGTTGCAAAAGTGTCAGTCAGATTTTAAGCACGTTGTTCTTTTAGCGAGGTATATACGCGAAATGCCTAGTGCATATAGTACTCGTAGGTAGAGTATAAAATATGTACAGTTACGTCATATAGGGTTGGCTAAGTCAACAAAGTGAAGTAAAATATAATTCTTTTCAAAAATTCAAAGTCGATTTCATCGGATATCGAATGATTCATACTTGATTATGCAATATTGCACAAAAATTATGAATTGTACATATAGTCATATTTTTTATTATCCAGTTTACCCTGTTTTACTATAAATCAAATTTTAATTATCCCAACTATTTTTTGTCACTTAAAAATTGGTCTGTCGAAAAATCTGTAAGTGATTAAAAGTATATTATCAATAATTTTTCTTTAATCCAGGACAGTGAGTGGTAGGCGTTATACGTAGGATGGCGGCCTCGTCCTTCCCATATTCAGACACAGCCGGACCTTCAGTCATCGATGTTACGGCAGAGCAAAATTTCTATGCGAATCCCCGAAGAATCCACAGGTCCAAGTATTTCGAAACATCAGAGAAAAATAAGCGGTGTATTGTTAATTAGCTGAAAATACAAGAGAGGGCTTCGAAATTCAATTTGAAAGTTAAAGCCCCGTACGCACTTGGCTACGCGTGAAAGCAGCCGCATATACGGAAATATAGGAAACGCTTGAAAATCGCTCCAGGGGAAAATGTCGGGCGAACGTCGATGAGAACTGTCAAAAAAGTATCATAGAATCATAATAGAAAGAAAGTATAATTCGAAAATTTATACTCGCGGTATTTCTCTTGTATAGCATGGGACCATGTGCCTTGTATTTCCTTCTTGTATTCGCAGCATGTTTGCCCTATGAGAGAAACCGGTAAGATTACCTTAAAATAGAAATTACATATTAATATAATAGTCATCCGATTTAACGTGACTTTTTTTTTTCGTATACCATCCACAGGGTGTTGGCTAACAAGGCTTTAAAAAACGAACAAAATATCGGTACAGTCTTGTTCGAAAGAAGCGACTGTGGAAAACATTGCTGGACCAGTGAGGAGTTTACAATTTTAAACAGTCGCAGAATGTTTCAAGACATATTGCCAAAGGTAATATTATTATTGATTAGCATTTAAAGTGCATGGGTATTTGTGTGTATATCTTTTGACGCGGAGAAATTTCTTTTCTCAGGTGAAAGTCATCAACTGCCAGAACGACCAGTACATAGCAATGCTCATGGACTATTTCCACATATGTCTCGAATGCGTTCGCAAGCTCTCAATTGGAAAAACTAAGCACCTTATGCTGAAAGCTTTGGCGGATACTATGGGTGGTTATCTGCAAGTTTACATACTGCCCCTTACCAAGCATTCGTACTATGCTGGAAATATTAAGTACAGAAATGCCAAAAGGCTTTTTGAGCTTTTCGACGAGCTCAAGAACTTCCTTCATACGAATGGGGTCGGATGGATGAAGCCAACTCTGAACAAGAAGCACGTGAAGACACCGCCGATCGTTATTACGCCGCCCAGAAGTTCCTTGGCGTGCAATGGCCTTATTACTTATCCGGCTCGTGAGTTCTATGATACCACTCGAGATTCTTCGATTAAATTCATAGGAAGCTTAAACGAGGAAAAAAAAGGGAACTTTGAGGTTTCTTTATTTAATACCTTATTCAGATTCGGCTGAAATGAACTCTCGAGATTTTCACTATTCTCACGCGATGAAAAGGAAACGATTTACGCGAGGTAGGAGGCCATCGAGAAATTCTCCTTTGGGTGAGTTGAAGACTTAAGAAATTTGATTTTGGGAGTGATTTTGATTTTTTTTATTTTTTTTTTATTTTTTTTTTTTTTTTGAAAGGATATAGTGAATATGGTGGAATTACAAGGCCGGTTATTGTGCCTTTGCCGTTTTTGGATGACGAGGCTCAACCTAATAGGTAAAATTTTGTTGATTGTTATTTTATTATTATTTTTATTTGATTTATTCTTTCATTTTATTTTTTTAGCATTGCTATGCCGTTCAAGACCGACAACTTGCAGTCTCTTTATTGCGAGAAGTCTGCTTTTGCACTAGTGAAATATTATGTTGCTAGTGTCAAGTGCATTGTGTCAAAGTCAAAAACGAATTATGAACTTGGCAGGTTTAATGAGGATTTTTTTGAATGGCTACAGACATCGGTACGTTCGTGTATATTTTAAAGGAATACAAGTATTTGACTTGATGCTTGGGACTAAATCAGGAAGGAAAATTGATCTGTGTATATTTGTATTATAGGTCCATACTCATTTGGATGACGAGAAATGGTACCCAGCATTCGGAGGAGTATTAAGAGTAATGGCGTCGTTAAGAGAGACAGGTAAAATTTGCTCGTTTCGCACTTTCGTTGTTTTTGAAAAATTACGTTTCATTTGGCAAAAATGATTTCCCGTCGGAAATGCCTTTTCTATTGGATATATATATATGGGTACCATTTGTTTTCACCCTCGCAGGGCTTGTTAATGGGCTTAACAAAGGGAAACAAGGTGGCGGGTATCAGATGATGCCAAAATTAATTGTGGTCACTACCAAACAACCCGATGATGGTGTTTCACCTTTATACAGAGGAAATTCTGCTGGTATCTATCCTCAAGTACTTTTCAATTGTGACAAATCAAATTTTTATTATATAATTTTGGAAATTCCAGGGAAATTGAGGGCCACGGAAAAAAGTATTATTGCTGTATCCTGCTTTGTCTGCTTCTGGATCTTGATGGGTGTTTTCATGGTTTGTTATAATTATCTTAAAAAACATTCCGAAGAATGCTCACCTTGCGAATCACCAACTGACTCACGGTAGGCAAAGATAGAAATGAATGTATTCTTTATTTATTTTTCATTCAATTCATTTTTTTTTTAATTAATTCTTTTAAGCGTCGCTATACTCTATGGTAATGCTGATTACTGCCAGGCGGCTTCGCAAAAAAGCTTTACGGAAAAGTTCAAGCAGTGGTGGGGTGGCAAATGCGGTACCACGTGTCCTGGGGCATGTAAGGATTATGACGAAGAGGAACGATACATGGCAACAATAAATTACTGCAACAAAGACGTAATTGATATGTGCAACAGCAATAAATCCTGTCAGTGAGTGAAGGGATTGTTGTTAATTATTAGCCAATGAATATGGTTATTTATTATTTATATCTAGAAAAAGTCTTTACACGAAAACGGAGTCACCTCAGCTGTTAGCAGTTTCGCCAACGGATACAGACTCGCCCAGGGTGAGTGAAATTTTAATTGAAATTATTGTGACGAATTAATTTTTCTTTTTTTATATTAAAGCAAATTTAGTACATGTGCGCGTTTACCATAAGGGATGGTAAGTTTTGACTAGTCGATATGTAGTCCTGAATAACTAAGCAGTGCTGCGCTCTATCGAGTAGTGTTTGCTTTACATTTAGATCTCAGTAAAGAAATCCTCCTGCAGTTGTATATTTATATATTTAATATTGCTATGTGTATATACGAGTGAAGGTGTTGTATTTAATAAATTATATGATTTAGAAAATAAATTATTTTCAGAAGACCGACGACGATTTGGATAATTCGTATAATTTTCAAGGACCTAGATACAGCAGGGTAAGTTGAATGAAGTTTGACAGTTATCTTTTTGAAATATTTATGCGCTCATACAATGGATATTAATAATGTATTTGTAAGAATTTTTGTACTAGCAATTTTTCTAATTTCTCATATACTAAACTTGAACAATAACAGCACAAGGGTGTCACGTGCCGAGATAACTACAGGCAGCATTGATTATCAAATGGAGCTAGAATATCACCATATAGGTGTAATAAAATCGTCGACGATCACTCTGAAAGGCACATGAGAAATAGCCAATCCCAGTCATGCAAACTCCCGCGATCAGTACAGCCATAACTGTACCAACAATCTTTTTTTATTAATCCAAGAAAACTGACGTGTTCCCCAAGAGTGGCGGCAAATTTCACCATGAGCCGAGTATCAATTTATAATATACCCTTTACGAATTTCATACAAAGGTCTGATTAAAGTCTTTCCCAAAGAATGAACCAAAAGTATTTCTCAATGATGGTAGAATAAATTTTACGAGTATAATCATTAACCAGTCCCATCATTTGCTCACATAGACTGTCCTCCTCCATAAAGTCTACGGAAACGTGAGTACTGATAAGATTCCAACTTTATTTCCTAGGAAAAGTCATATCCTTTTTACTATAGCAGGTCAAGTCAATGGGTCTTCATGATGATAGACATTATAGGCGTATACTATACTCGATGAATATACTATAGTCATGAAACCAAGTAGTAGTATACTATCTGTGTGCAACTTGTTGCGACGAATGACGAGTGGAATGTCTCTCCGTTTCTCAGAGCTGAGACAGCTTTGACGCAAAAGCGGCGCCATCTAGAGTCTAAACTGCTGCGGCGCGAGTAGCAAAACTGTTTGGGGTAGCAGTGTCGCGCGATACGTCAACGTGTGCGTCTCGTCCGCGTTGATTCTTAATGTTTTGAAGTAGCCGCGTGTCACGGCTTCTCATCTGATTTATTTAAAGAGGCTTAAAATCGCTGATTATTTAAAGAACGCGCAAGATTCGGGCGTCACGGAGTTTCTCGATTAATGCAAATGAACGTTGACTGACTGTCATCACGATTTAAATTGAAATTTTATTAACCGGCTTCTTTGAAAAGATTAGCTTCGCTTTGAAACAGCATTATAACGATTGACTATTTCACTTGGAACAAATGTATCAAGTGAGGTGATGTCTTCGTGGCCGTTGGTTTTAGATTTATTTATTTGTTTGGACTGTGTTACGTGCTGGTGATTGAGTGTTCGGAGTGTGACAGTTTGACAGTCCTTTTATCCATATTGGATAAACTGATAAGCAGACATAATTCGAAAAGGATCGATGGTTTATCAATATAGTTTCATATGGATTTGACCGGATTTTTTTATTTGATGATAATATTCGTCACGTGCGTCGTTGATGATTTTTGAACAATTTAAAAATAACGGTTTACTATGGCCAATGGTTATATATATTAATACATGTGATTAACCTATCACTCGAGTAATTTTCTCGTTACAAGATCAAAGTGACTCGGTATTTGAGCCTTCTGTTTTTATTAAACTTGAAAAATTAATTCCTCGCAAGCATTTTACAATATCGAAATTCCATGGATATTTATAAAACAGTCGTCGTATTATTAAAATCGCCGTGCAAAGTGTGAAAGCTCATTTCAAATTTGCCGCTTTCAAACAAACGCGTCTTACTTTCATTAAATTCGTGTGCTTACTGAACCGTAAAATTTTTTCTTTCTGTTTTGACTTGTGCCAACATTATGATATTTCCGGCGGGATACATTAATTTCGTCGCCCCTCGTGTACCGCGTTTTACCAATTGACTTGGCGTTGGCATCTCCTTGACAATTTTGAGAGCATCCAAAGGACAAGATGGACCCGTGGAGAATTTCCATGAAGTTCAGCGTCGTTCTACTGTTATTCTTCGGCGTAGCACTAAAAGGTGAGTTTCTTTACGTTACTAATTATCACCTGGCCTTCCTTATTCTCACCTGCGCACGTCACCTTTTCGTAAATAAAAAAGACTAGCTCACAATCCATTAATGGATCACTAGACATTATTGGTATTACACACAAATGTTATCAGATCATCCAAAACAGAGTGATTACCAATAAATTCGATTACGTGATTAAAAATATTTATCAGTGACAGCGATAACATTGTAATTTACTCAAGCCTCCGATTAGATAAGTACTGGAATAATTATTAGAGAAAATAGCCGTCAAAATTGCATTAACAAGATATCACACAGACAGTATTGACACTGCCAAAGGTAATATTACCAGCAAGATGGCGGTTCTATTAACAGTGAAAACACGAGGAAACCGAATAAACGTGCAAGCATCGACGAATGGCAAACAAGTTTTATCTTTCTTTATCCGCGATGTATTTTCGTGCTGTGAATTCGACAGTTATTTTTCCCCGCCATATTCAACAAACGAAACAGGAAAGGACGAGTAGTAAAATATTTCCATAATTTCTGCTAGTTTTGATTTTCACGTGTCCAACCAAAGTACAGACGTGATCGAACGCGTTCGCATACATTATAAGTACATGGTACTATGGGTACCAGTTATTCACGTATTTTAAATCGTGGGCGTGAGTCTCCGCTGACGGCCGTTCGACCGAGCCGAGTGATTCCTCCTACTTGTTGAATTCACGTGACAAATTGGCCTGTGTCGTGCGCGAATATTTCAACTTTCCCCGACGCAAATCCATCACGTTCTTCGTCATCCATTAGCAGCAAATAACTTGGATTAAGTAGGAATATCGAGCGGGGAGCATTAGAAGAGAATCGCGCGGAAGAATAGAATCCCATGAATAGCCGGACGAAGTCGGATTTCCATTAAAGAAAATAAATTCAAAGTGATTTCAACCCCTTTGGCGTTACAAGTACACAATGAACTATCGATTTAATGCACCCCCCCTAGAGTGCACGATAAAATTCTTTTTTTCGATTCTTCGAATATTACCCCCCAACTGAAATCAGCTTCAGTCGTGTATTTGCTTGGAGCAGTAAAAATTCGAAAACTGTTGCTTTATCGATTAAATCAGAAAAGCTCTCACGTATCGCAGGCACAAGAACGATTAAGCTGTTTCGATCTGGCTCCAGGTTGAAAGGCATACCAACCTATAGGAGCCATGTCGTAAACATAGGAAGGCCGATTAGCTCTTGGCCGTTCGTATTATCCTTGGAGACCGAAACGGAGTCTAGCTTCGAAATCCCCTTTGGACATAAGTTCTTCTCTATAAACATTCAACAAGTGGTAAAGGTCCTTGGTCTCGCCTCAATACAGAAGACACTAGAGACTCTCCTCCCTTAGCTTCGAGATCGCTTAGACGTGTCGCGCGAGACTTTATTTGTCTCTCGCATAAGAGAAAAGGCAAATGTCAGGTATTCAGTGCACCACGTACATATGCGACACGGGGTATAAGATACGTATGGACGAGTCAGACCGAGCGTGGAAAACCGGCATCCCGAGAATGGATCGAGCCTGGCAGTACCTCAATGCCTTAAAGAGTCCTAGTGAGAAAGGACATTTCACCTTATTCGCGTAATTATCAATATTAACGACGCGTCACGCGCCAAATGATCGGCGCCCGTCTACCTTGTGCCGTTTCGTCGATCGGCACTTTAATGAATCAATAGGAAAATATATATACGTGTATCGTTCGATGCATTAGTACGACGGTTCAAGATTGGTACGAGTGATTTGAGAGAATAATTGAATGGGGATTCCCTAGGGACTTTTTTCCTTTCTCTAGCTCTCTTGCGTTCTCACAGTTTAGCTGCGCGGATAACGGAACGACTATTGTTGTTTATTATCAGGGGGGTGGGGGGGGAGGCAGCCACATTTCGTACTGTAGTCAATGTTCTGTTTTGTCCGGTCGTCGGAAATTTTTTAAGAGGCCGTACGTCATGTCATCTAATTGCAGGTTTTTGTTTTTTTTTCTCTTTTTTTTTTTTATCTATGCCGTTACTCGCGTAGCACTCTATAGAGTACAGTCAGTGTATACTGAATACGTCGGATGTCGGAACGGCTCGTGGTGTAAATTGCCTGTAAAAAATGGTTGTTTCACTACTCTTCTCCTTCTTGCCTGGTGCTGTTTTTACATGTTTCGATCGATTTTTATTTTTGAATCTGAAACGTGCTTATTACGGCCACGCGCCGGATCCTCCCTATCTCTTTGCGATACTTCCCTTGGTCCCTCCGTGGCGGGACGGAGGACGCGGGCGATTTTATTGGCTTGTAAATAACGAATATTATGCGATGCGATGAATCCCAAGTTTAAGAGCCTGCGCGGCACGTTATTTAGAGCTCGTTCGGGAGGAATACGGCGTGTGAAGTGTGACGACATCGAAAATATCCTGGAGGGTAGAAGGCCGCACAGGCTGGCCACTCTTGTGGCACTTATAGCCCGAACTTTCTTCTTCTTCTTCTTCTTCGAGCGAGCTAGTTGATTTTTTTTTCTTTGTGTTTCTTTTTTTTCCCCCCTCTCTCTCTCTCTCTCTTTCAACGTTCGCGGATTCGCCGCCGTTCAATTGCCGCTTGCGTTATTCGATTCCACGAATAAAAGTGCGTCTGAATTTCTCGAACGATTTGCAATCTGCGAACAAACATTCGACGTTTCTTGTAAGCACGGGATGATTCGCGAGACGTGAGAAAATGTATTTTCATGAACCGATGAGTAACCGTTCTCTGTGTCGCATTTACTTCTTATCGCCACCAGAGCAGCGACTATGGCGGATACTTCGACGTGTACGATTATCGATATCAGTTGTCGAGAGAATATCGATTATTTATAGAGTAACGTATTATCGCCGATAAAGACATTTTTTCCTTGTACTTTCATCAACATAAATCTCTCCTGGGCAATATTGCCAATAAATTTTCAATTACAGATTCGAAGCTCGTATTTCACTCTCAGTGATGAACTTTCAATACACCGTGCTATCAGGTGCCGAGCTATCGTCCGTAGCGAATAGGAAATTTCGCGTTGATCCAGTTAGAGAAAATATCTCGTTACCTAAAAATCTTCAGGCGAAACTAAGACGATAATGGACCGGATCGAGTTCGCCGAGCGGTTTTACGATGATCTCGCCTCACCCTGTTGCTGATACGCGTGTTCGTTTCCTTACTGAGACGGAAGAGAGAAGGAAAATCCCTTATGTATTTACAGAAGGGGTTTGAGCGAATCGACTATAGCAGTTTTCTTCATTATCGGCCGAGCTCGAGGCTCAGTCTTCAGCAGCGTTCGGACTTTCCACGAACCATACGGATTCCCGAGCAGGGCGTCGTCTTTTTTTTTCACACCGAACCAGGCTCAGTCCACTAAATGTAGTCTGGCACGTAAAAGTAATGGCAATAAAAGGCAAAGACAAGAAAAAGGATCGGTATCATAAGTCAGCAACAATAAGTTGCACGTCCCGGCGCTGCTCTGGCTGCCAAGTCAATGGCCGCCGTGAGGCCGTATAAATCTGTAAGTAAATTTAGAACGTGCCGGCTAAACTGCATCGTGGTTACGTACGGTCGTGCAAGTCGGTGCTGCCGCCGTGGCGGGATGCGAAACGTTGAGTAAAAAAAAAAAAAGTTTACCACTGACAAGAAAAGGAGACGAAAATTTTTTCAAAAATCTCGGCATCCATTTTGCCTCATCGGAAGAAGATACTTTGGCCGCGTGCCGATGTTCTCTTCATTCTTTATCCTTTCGCTCGCGTCTCTCGTTAAGCTGGCAATCGTTCCGTCGCCGCGGCTACTGACTTTTACAGGGGCGCCTACGAAACGGGTGGGCCCGCAGGGCGCGAAAACAATCGTGGCATTGATTAGCAACAAATGTAGGTAACTCACTTACGGGGCTGCCGTCGCGCGGGACTCGCTCTGAATTACCGACAAACGGACGGTAAATTAATATAGTCACGTGTTTACGTCTCGCATGCTAAAGCTGTCATATCGGAACACGCATCAGGGAGCTTCTGACTCGCACCATTGGGAGCTACTCCTCGAGTATACATTATATGTATAATATATGTATGCATATATATATATATATATATATATGTATAATTCAGCGTACACACGTGCGAACGAACGCATGCATATGCATGCACGTATCCACCGTGTATGACGGGGCTAGTGCACATATGTGCATCGGACAGCGAACCATCGACTCGCGCACGTCTGCCCCGACATTCCGGAATTTAATTAATCAGTGCGAATTAATCCCAATTAGCAGAGCTTGTCTGATGACTAGAGAGACTCTTCGTTAGGTCTCGCCGTGGGGCTACAGGTGCTTTCAACCAGGTACCTTGGTGTACCCGAAATCCATGTTTTCCGCCAAAATTGGTACGAGCGCAATAATTACGTATTTCACATGAAAGCTCATAGGAAGTCCTTTGGGTCGCTGATTGCGAATCCCAACTCGCGATTATAAATTTTTCAATTTTTAGATAAGATTCGTAATCAGTAACCCAAAGAACTCGGGCATACCAAGTTTCGTCGAAATTCATTGAAATTCATCGGAGGTAATAAAGGTGCGCACACGTGAGTCATTAGCAAATTTTGCAAGAAAACTTTTTGCGCATATTTACGTCATTGCCAGTTAACCGTGCAATTGGATATGGTAACATTGTCAATAATCATGTCAATTAGGGACGTTACTGTTTTTTCAGCGCTTTGATTAAAGATCTTTAATTTATTCAGATAATTCGAACCTTGTATGGTTTATCAAAAATATTACTTTTTTTTTGTAACATTTTTTTTTTTCACTCTATTTGTTCGCTTTTAATCGCCCGAAGCCGTCTCAGCCTGGAACCCGCAGACGTAAATGCTCTTACGTTGGTATAACATAGTCAATAATTAATTTTTTTTTTCCAAATAGAAATCGCGAAAGCACGATTGCATCGTATGTTTGCTTCGCATAATTTGCCATGACGATCGCTG